ATTCTGTGGAAGAAGGGAAAGGGTTAATTTTCCCTCAGACTTTTCTCTGTTCCTCACAGCTCCTAGGACCCTAAAATGACTGCCCAAAGTCATGGCTGAGTGGAACAGAAAAAAATGACATGCTAGGTCCATAGGGAATTATGGCGAAGTGGCAGCCGTTGTGCGAATATATTTTAGCTCAGGGCTGTGTGGGTGACTCTAGCCTTTTTCTGTCCTTCTGAATTTGTAGGATTCTAGAAAAGAAAAGCTTGTTAGGCATCAGCTGAGAACATACTTACTAGCAGGGGTTGTTTCCTGCAGGAGCACACAGGAGCAGAGCTCCGGCAGTAAAGAGCCCAGGGGGCGGGCACATGCAACTAGCCCCACCCCCTGCTCCCAGCAGCCCTCAGAGCAAGAAGCAGCCAGGTAAGTTGCAGATGCCCCCCCTGCCCAAAATAGTCCAGTGGCACCTTTAAGACCAAGCATTATTCAGGTACAAGCTCTCCCTCCTCTGCGAGGACAGATCTGCATGCCCCCCTCCCAATAGCTAGCAATCCAAAACAGTCTACTGGAGCCTGAGTGGTAGGTGTTGCCTTCTGACACACTTCCGGTGATGTCAGGGGGTGTGACATATGCAAAGAACTTAATGCTAATGAGTTATGCTAATGCGCTCCTGCACCTCTTTTTCTACGAAATGACTCCTGCTTACTAGTATCCCAATTCTGCCATCTAGAGATCAAAGCATGACACTGTTGACCCTGTGTATATTCAAACTAACTTGTTCTCTGGTGAGTATGCAAAGGATTGCAGCCTGATAGAATATATTTGTTGGGATAAGCCTTTCTTCTGTTTTCCTCTGGTATAAGTGAAGGATCTCAAAACCGCTAGCTCAACGTCAGCAGGGCGAGCATCCTTTTGTAGACAACAGCTGTTGTGGAATGAACGAACACTGGTGGAACGGAGTTTAGATAGCTAGGCAACGGATCTTCTGCTAAAAGGTGGTAACCATGCCTTATGTCAAATGTCAAAGGATTACAAATAAATTAGGGAAATTGGAGATATGTTTGCAAAACGAAAATTACAGCGTCTGGGTTTCTTAACTAATCCATCGGGTCATCTAAGACATCTCTCTCAGCAATGTCCTTTCCCTCCTCATATTTAAAACCAAAGGTGAATCTGTAGATTCCCAGTCTGAAGATAGTTCTGTTTTTGCAAAAAAAATAATAATAATCAAAAGATTGGCAATGACTCCCACATCTTTCAAAGGAGCCCAGAAGGTGGTCAGAGGCATCTCCCACCTTTCCAGATTAACTTCTTGTTGTAGAGAGCAAAGAAGTCCCATTCACGTATCAGGAAAAGCCTGTTCTGTTATGCTGATCGTTGTTGAGATATTAGTGAATGGAGTTCAGGCTGCAGTAGATGCTTCCCAGGACCACTTTCAAGTGGATCAGACCAATTCACTAAAGTGCCATCTAGTCACAGCTGGCTTATGGCAACCCCAACAAGAGGTTTTGAATGCTAGTGAGAAGCGGGGGGGGGGGGGTTTCTTCCTTGGTGGTCACCAATGTTCCCTCTAAGATGTGGAGTCTTGTGAGCAAAAAGTCTACTTTGTGAGCTACTGGGCATTAAAGTTGTGAGCGAGCGATTCGGCTGCTGCATAAACTAGTTTGCTCTGGAGCCATCCTTCCTGAGCGAAGACAAAAATGTGTGAGCTGGAGGCTAAAAAAACTGTGAGCTAGCTCACACTAACTCAGCTTAGAGGGAACACTGGTGGTCACCCAAGTACCGAGCCTGCTTAGCTTCCGAGATCTGACGAGAGTGGACTGTACCATGCTGCTTTCCCTCCTCAGACGAGCTATATACCAGGGCATTTCAGAGTGTGTAGATTAGCAGATTGCTTATACTGGATTTAAGACAGCATGGCATTCAAGGAGAAGAGTGGATGATACTTTCAATACCCACCTTGGGTCCCGAGATGCTCAGGAGAAAAGCGAGCTTATAAATATTTCAAATAAACAAGAACATGAACGATACCCGTCTCTGCTGTTGTGTCTTATTTGTCCAGATGTGTTTATTCTAACACTGTGGTGGCAAAGGAGGACTGGGATACACGCAGATAACTGGAGATCCAATCCTGGCAGGATTGTGGTAGTGATGCTGGGCACACTGGTTCTGCAATGTCAACCAAACGAGAGAGCCCCAGGGTCAACAAAGCCAAGCCTTTCTTTTTACAGGAGCTCTAAGACACCTCCCACGAACATCTGGCAGTGAAGACAATTCCCCTCTTCGCCTTGACATCTGGCAGCCATATGACACTGTATGGAGCTGCCCCTGAAGCTTGCTGGAAAAGTGCAGCTTGTGGCAATGACAGAACGCAGCAGCCAGATCGTGGAGGCAAATACTGGTGGGCTGATATGTAAGATGCTTCCCTTGTCCTTGACCACTGACACGAGCTTCTTTGCATTGTCAGGCCCCAATCTAAGCTGTTGTGTCTGGTGGTCCCCAACCTTTTGGAGCACATGGACATCTTTGTACACACACAGAGGAATCCCACGTGCCGGGGGAAAGAGGCGTGATTAAAAAAAAACATTGGGAAATCAAACGCTGGGGGCACCTGCTCCTGAAACAACATTTTAATCAAGTGTCCAGTGCGCCGATCAGAAGTGTTCCTGGGCAGGAGTTTTACCTTACCCCGCCTTCTTTGTAAGAGCACTCAGTGGGCACCAAGAAAGTTGACGTGGGGCACAATGGGCACCCACTGCCGCCATGTTGGGGGCCCCTGCTGTAGGGCTGAGAAAACAGGATCGCTCCATCTCCATGTATCGGAGCAACTGCATGTTTATGAAGGTTCAGAAATTGCATGGAAGTTAAAAGTGCACGAAGGAGTAAGCGACCCAAGTAGCCTGAAAGCATCAAGGGAACCCTGTGAACACTCCCCTATTGACTCTGCCCGCCCTTCCTGAATCCATGTCCCCAATATATCGTGCCTTTGACCAATTTTGGTGAGAGTTCATTTGAATGCAAGATTTGGACAGGAAGTTAAAGTATAACTGGCGATATTCATACGTAAAATGTGCTGCAAAGAAGTAGGAGCAATGAGAGCTCAGAAAAGAAGCTGTAATGCGCGTCCCACCCTCGGGTAGGATCGCCAGACGTTTAGTGTAACGTAGTTGTACTTCCTTCCTCCCTTGATATTCTTGCACACAACCCTGGGTATCTGCGGAAGGGAGCCTGGACTCTTGAAAGCTTATACCCCTAAAAACGTGTTGGTCTCTAAAGTGCCACTGGACTCAAACCTAGCTGCTCCAACCCTGCAAGGTAGGCCTCTGTAAGCAAATAAGGATGGAGACGGCTCATCTGAAACTCCCTGCTTCCCATTCTGATCTGGTGCTCTTAACTTGCTCCAGATCTTGGTGAGGGCAACACAGATGCCACATATGTGGTTCCTCTTCAATGGACAACTACTTCCTGTGGATAGATTCAGGGTAGCCGTGTTGGTCTGAACCAGCAGAACATAGTTCGAGTCCAGGGCTTTTATTCAAGGTATAAGCTTTCATTTGCAAGGCACACTTCTTCAGATACAATGAAGTGGGAATTCCCAGTCCATACATACACTTAGAAGGGTGAACAGTAAATTAGCATACAGCCTAATGAATGGTTACCATTTGTTTGAGTTTAATTCTGGGGGGGAACACAGTGAAGGAAATAAATATGTCAGAATTGGAGACTGATGGGCAGATGTATCCTTAATTGTGGCATGTTGAGAGTAATTAACTGAGACCCTGTTGTTATGCCCCGTCAGTCTCTCCTCTCAAGCGTGGAGGTGAACTTACAGCATCTTCTTTGAAGTGGGGCAATTGGCTGTGGAGTAATTCTGGTGGTTGTGGGTTTTTTTAATGGATCATACTGTGCCCTTTAGCTTTGGAAACCATTTCCTTCTACTAGTATCATATTGCGACAGTTTTGTCAAAGAACAGCCAATCTAAATCCGGCAGGCCTTCTGACACAGGAGGAAAATCAGTGACACTCCAGACAAATAGCGAAGCTTGGCTTGCAGCTGGTAAAATTCCACAATAAAACCCCTCAATCGCCTTTTGCATGACTTATTAGTTTAGACATTTTAATGGTTTTAAGGTTATATGTCTAAATATGTATTTTTGGACTGAAAGCTAATCTGTATTTAATGAATATGTATTATTTTGACAAATGTTCTTTGACCGTAAATAAACATCCTTCACTCATACCCAGAATGATAATAATTTTAAAAATCCGGCAGGCTCACAAATGTTTTGGCCCTCAAACTCCTTTATGAGACCGCTCCAGCAATGCATACTGCAAGGGAAAAAAAAAAATCACAACACCCCAGGAGTACCTTAAACAATTGCTGTTTTTTTAAAAAAGGACTACAGCTACAGTCACAAAGCCACTTTCCTGGGAGTAAGCCTCACTGAAAAGCATCGGATGTACTTTAGAGCAGTGTTCCCTCTAAGCTGAGTTAGTGTGAGCTAGCTCACAGTTTTTTAGCCTCTGGCTCACACATTTTTGTCTTGGCTCAGGAAGGATGACTCCAGAGCAAACTAATTTATGCAGTAGTCAAATTGCTCACTCACAACTTTAATGCCAGTAGCTCGCAAAGTAGAATTTTTGCTCACAAGATTCCACGGCTTAGAGGGAACACTGCTTTAGAGTAGACCTTAGGATTTCCTCCCTAAATGACAAGGGAAAGGCGAGCTTTAGGGGGATCAAGGGTTAATGGAAGCACATGCTGTGTCACACACTGGACAGGCTATGTCTTCAGTTCTGCATTGCAGAAATACGAATGGGGTGGGTGGGACTTGTTTCATTTTCCCTTGTTCTTAAAGGAAGTTGCCAGAGGGTTTGTCTGGCTGCACGGTAGCCCATAAATGCTTCTTTGTCAGTAAGAGGAAGTTGGTGACCCCCCCAGCCCCCCCTTTTATAGCAGTTGTCACTTTTTAATACCCACAGGTCCTACAGAGGCAGCACAAAAAAACCATTGCGTTTCAAGTAGCAAGAAGAGGTTTATTCATGTGACCTCTTCAGTAAATCACAGCAACTGAAACTTGGGAGGCATGAGTCAAATAAGCCCCAAACGAAGCAGGGTTTTTTTGTACACATTTTAAGTTGAGAGTCTCAACATCTGACACAGCTAAAGTGTGGGGAAAAAATGAGCTTAACCTATAGGACAAGAGCCACTGAAGCTGCAGTGTGTGTGTGTGTGTTTTGGGGGCGGGGACAAGTTCAGCAAGATAATCTTTTTAAACTGGACCAAGAACAATTGTCGGAGGACAAGTACTAAAGCTTTTATCTGCTTCCCGTGTTAGGCTACAGGTTGGTTTCTTCTCAGCTTCTTCAAGCAGACTTGCACAAGGCTACAGCAGAGAAACGGACCTCTCCTTGCTCACGCTCTGTGAACTGCCGGCAGATCTTAGCAGAGGCCTTAGAGAGAACATAGAATGAGTACCTTGGTGTTCCAAACAGGAGATAATGCGATCATTGTGGCCTTGGGATATGGGACTTTTGGGGTTAGAACACTGAGGCTGCGGTCACACACACTAAACAATCCACTTTCAGTGTACCTTCCAACTGGATTTTCCTAGTTCACACAATAAAATCTAATTCGAAAGTGCACTGAAAAGTGGATTGAAAGTAGATTATTTAGTGTGTGTGACCGCAGCCTGATTTAACAATCTAGATTACCAAAAAAGAAGGGGAACCAGCGTACAAGAATAGGAACAAAGCACAAAAAACCACTGGCTGAAGATAAACTCTCTCTCTCTCACACACACAATAGAATGACAAGTTCGGTAATATTATGCATCTATACAATTTATACATAATGTATGATGGTTTATCCTCACTTGTGTATGTCTTGAATTTGTATTTAGTCCCACTATAGCCTATTGGTTTTGAAAAAGAATTACTCAAAACGCGGTAGCTTGCATCCGGACTATGCATCTCTATGGCTTATGGAATTCCAGAATGTTTGAATTATCCAGGAACTATATGAGTCCACTCCATGATGAATGCACGTCAAGTTGGACTATCATATCACAATACAACTGGAGTAAGACACATTGAAATTTTTGGGACTTTATTATATTTCTGAATTACTGAACTCGTCATTCAATAGTATTTATATATATATTGTTTATCTTCAGTCAGTGTTTTTTTGTACTTTGTTCCTTAGCTATCTAGATTAGCACGAAGCCCAGCACTGAGTTCTGGTAGGACAATATCCCTTCACAAAGAATGTGTTCATGTTTGTCTTACCTTCCTTAATGAAATGCATAAAAGAGAAGAGGAGGAGATTGGATTTATATCTCACCCATCACTACCCGAAGGAGTCTCAGAGCGGTTTACAATCTCCTTTCCCTTCCCCTCCCCACAACAGACACCCTGTGAGGTAGGTGGGGCTGAGAGAGCTCTTTTGAGAACTGCCCTTGAGAGAACAGCTCTAAAAGAACGTGCAACTGACCCAAGGTCACACCAGCAGCTGCATGTGGAGGAGTGAGGAATCAAACCCAGTTCTCCCAGATTAGCATCCACACTCCTAGCCACTACACCAAACTGGCTCTCATGTGTAATGTATCCATTATTCATATGCTAGACCCTGTCAATCACTTCTGCTTCCACTTCTATCAGTGAAGAAACCACCAACTGGACTAAGGCTGAGCAAACCTAAAAGTAGTTTCACGGGAGTAAGCATCCTGAGTAGATCTGCTTTGGATTCCTCTCTAAGTTTTAAAGCTCCCTAACTCCATCTCTCTCTTTCCGAGCAAACGGGCTATCCTCTCGTCTGTTTTCAGAAGGGAAATGCATGAGCAAAATAGGGGTGGTCAGAGGAATGATACGATCACACTAACTGGCACTGAGCTGTGTGCCAAGGAAAACTGATTGGTGACCCACTCGGCTAGAAAGAGAGCTTACCTTCAACAGGGTGCCATCTGAACTAGCTCCGTGGTTTATGGGGAAGGGCAGTCGTCCATCTGAAAGGAATACGCGGAGTGAATTTATGAAATCGGGGGGCCACAAGGATGTGCTTTAGAGAGGGTTTCTTGATAAGTGGCTGGCAGAGGAAGAGCCTACAACTTAGTCATTGTCCTTGAAAAGGGTCATGGGAATGCTCCGCAGCAATGGCAACAGGAACTCTGGATGTTCCGTCCTCCAGCTGGGGTCCTCCATTAGCAACCCTGGTATCCCACCCCACTTGCACACCAGCTGTTTCAAGCAGAGGAAAAGGCTTTTAATTTAACTTGCTGCTCTCTTCTAGTACACGATCTTTCACCCCACTGCTTTGAATACTGTGTCTGTTAAGCAGGGAGTGGGGAGAAATGGTAAGCAACAGGATCAGAGTTCTGGCTGGCTCCTGAGTTGGCCACGCCCAGCAGGAACTCATTAACATAATAGGCCACACCCAACAGCAGAAACTCATTAGGATTGGCTACATTAGGGTTGTGTGGCCTAACATGCAAAGGACTTCCTGCTACAAAAAAAGCCCTGGGTTTTGACAACAAGGTAAACAGAATAAGAAGGGAAAGGTGGGTGTGGCTGGATGACCACACTTCTGGTAACATGGGGGTGCGTCCTAATGTGCTAATGAGCTGTGCTGTCAGGGTGTGGCCTAATATGTTAATGGGTTTTGCTGTTGGGTGTGGCCTATTATGCTAATGAGTTCCTGCTGGGCTGTTTCTACAAAAAGAGCCCTGATTAGAAGTATACAAAAAGATTGCCCCCCCCCCCCTGTGACTATAGCTCACTGCAAGCAGACATGGAGCAAATTTGAAATGTGGGTGCCTGGATGCTGAACCCCGTTATCCTAACCCCAGTATCCTATCAAGAAGTTGTTTATTTTTTAAAAGGAGGAGGAGGAGAGATTGGATTTATACCCCACCCTTTACTCAGAGCTGCTTACAAACTCCTTTCCCTTCCCCTCCCCACAACAGACACCCTGTGAGAGAGGCGGGGCTGAGAAAGCTCTGGGAGAAACTGCCTTTTCAAGGACAGCTCTGACAGAACTGTGGCTGGCCCAAGGTCATCCAGCAGCTACAAGTGGAGGAGTGGGGAATCAAACCCGGTTCTCCCAGATTAGAGCTCACACACTTAACTACTACACCAAACGAATGTTAAGTCATTCTTGTTTGCTTGATAGTACAAGCCTAATGGAAGTCTGCTGATAACAATATCGACTGTATTTTTTAATTTTTTTGCATTTTGTGTGTGAGCACGCCCATGCCTGAGGTCAGAGAAACCTCTGGCGACTCCTACTGGGGCACCAAGGACATTCAGTGAAGGGTCTTGATAGCCTGCCTCTTGGCCCTAGTATTCTCTGGAGGTCTCCCATCCAAATACTTGCCAGGGTCGGCCCTGCTTAGCTTCTGAGATCGGACGAGATTGGGCTTGCCTGGGCTATCCAGTTCAGGGCAATGTTGGTAATCTTTTGAAGACAAAGTATGGGGGAACTTCAGAAGAAACCTCTTTAGTTCCAAAGGGGTGGGGTTGCAAATGTTTTGGCCTGTTGAATCAAGGACTGTTTCTGCAGGATATAGGTTCACGCTAGTCAAGGCAGCTGGCTTGGGTGGTGGTGGTATTGAGGAGAGCTACCAGGAGACCGCAGACCCTGGAGCCTCCTCATACAAAATACAGATCAATACGCAGCAGTATTGCTGCCTCTACAACCAAGGTAGAAGGAAGTTCCTCCTTTCACTCAAATTGCTGTTACCCAACAGCGATGGACCATATATTCAGACATGCAGGACACATCTTTGTGGAATGTGTGATTTATGGGGTGGGGACAAGGGATGAATGTTAAGAGATATTGGTTGAAGGTCTGACTCCTGAAGTGGAACTGGCATGCCAAGTATTGTCAAAAATCCCATGAATCCAAAACTTCTGTTGTGCATGGAGCAGCTCAGCTTTACCAAAAAAATAAATTTAAAAAAATCACATTATGGAACTGCTTCCTGGCTTCCTGTTGGATCTGCACCTCCAACACAGGAAGAAGGAGCCTACTGCCTTTGAAAGACTGATCTTTAATCACTGCAGTTGTATTTTTAATTCAGGACTGTAAACTGTGCCTGGAGTTCCGGGATATAAGCCCAAGAACAGAACTGCTCTATGAGTCATTCACATTTATAGAAAAGTTACCGGGTGTTGTTAAATTAAAATACCACATCATTTTTAACAGAAGTAAGCTTTAACTGATGGTTTTTGTAAAAAATGGTCTATGTATCAAGCCTGTCTAGGGTTGCAGTATCATCTTATTGTTCTAATGAACCCAGTCCCTTAAGGCTGATATTTAACCATATCCAGCTGCTCAATTGGCCAGCTCTTTTGACCAGTCACATGGACTCAGGTCCATAAACCAGTATTTTGTGGCTTGCGGGGCAATTTTTTTTTCTCCTGGTGGGGCTGAAGTTCTCAGTGCAGAAAGAAAAGCCATTTAGTCAATAGAAAGCTGTTACCAGGATAGACCTCTGAACTGCAAGCTGTCAAGCACTTTAGATGACAGTTCCCAGCTGCTGCAACTTAATCACTTCTGCCAGCCTAAGCAACAATTCTGATAACAAGCTGGTAGGTGAGGGTGATGACTTCTATAATCAAGAAAGCTAAAACTTGGGCAGAAAACTCTCTTAAAGGAGACCAGTTTCTTGACAGAGTTAGAAGGTATCCTAGGGGTCACCTACTCCAACCCCCTTGCTCAGTGCAGGAATTGGTAAACTAATACACCCCACTCTGGTTTAAATGATGAAAAAAGCATTCACAGGATAAATTTTTGTGGGGGTGTCTCTTTAAGAAAGGGGGCAGAGCCCTCAAAGGCCTGGGCCTGCATAGACAATCTGACCACAAACGCAGACCTCTATCTTGCTCCAGTTTTGTAGTTGCTGGGAAGCACTGGATGCCCAGGATTCAGACCCATGGAGAAACAAAGCTGTTATCGTAAGCAGAAAATGAGTTTCAGACAAACCTACCCAGTTCATAGAGGTGGCCATCCACGGCGGCAAAGAGAATGAAATGGAAGTTCACTTTATCATCTTCAACCTAAGGAGAGAGAAAAAACAAATCTAGCAGCCTAATGACACCAGTACAGAACATACGCAGAAGTTTTCAGTTATTCTTTTGTGACATTTCTACACTATTGTGTAGAACAATTAACATAGTTCCTTACTAATACTACATCAATATGTAACCTTTCCTCATATTCCAAAGGAAACAAATTGATGTTTTTCTTTTTGTGCTGCCTTCTGTTACTAGGATACAAATGGAATTGATACCGGGCAGAAGTAGTTCACCTTTCTCTATCCTGCTCTCTACTCATTTGAGTTTATGGGATTTTCTGCAATCCAAGGTTATCAGATTGCCTTGTCTGCCATATTTTTTGTCCCACCTTTTCCCTGAGGAACTCGGGGTGTCCTCCAGTTTATACCTGCAACAACCTTGTGAGTGCACAAACGGCTGGCTCAAGATGACCTGGGCTCCCTCCTAACGCCACAGCTTTGGGGACTCCTGGGGCGGATGCCGTGGCGGAACGGGCCCGTGTCAGCTGGCTGACCCCGCTCTGCCCACTCCTCCTTTGAAGGGGCAGTTTTTCACCACTGCCTCTGGGTATTGCTGCCACCACTGTCCCTGTCTTGGGCTCTGGTTAGGCGGGACAGCCTCCTAACCTCCCTCTGATGTCACTAGGAACCCACCTTGGGGCTTCCTGGCAATCTTTGGGGCTCCCCTGGAGAGTTGGCAACTGGCCATTTTGCCCTTGTTCTCCTCAGGGAGTCCCCAACCCACCCCTAGCGTGTCCAAGCGGCTGGGGGAACTATGCGGTACAGAGGGACTTCTCAATGTCAACAGTAAAAGGATTTATTTTGAAACCACTCAACTATATACCGGCATATTAACAGTGAACTGAAGAATCAAAATAAAGGTGGATAATAAATCGCTCCATCTCTCCCTTCACTACACATGCCTGTCTAGATGGTCTGCAGGGCAGGCACATGACTTGCTCTCACTGGAGGAAGTTAGATTAGCCCAACTCCCAGCATGGCCTCTGCCTCCTGCAGTCTCCAGCCGACAGCCTGACTGGCTCCAGACTTCAGACAGACCGACCTCAATTCTCCTAGACTGGCTTCCCGCCCAAAAGCTCCACTCTATCCAACAGCCCTTCCTGCCCAGGAAGTGGCTCTCCCTCCTGCAGCATTCTGGGGCAGCTCTCCTCACAGCCTTGATGGACTTCCTGTCCTCTCTAGGAAGCTGCCCTCTGACTGCTGGTTGGAGACAGG